TACTTTGCACATGGACTATTCAAAACAAATACTCAATATATTCATGAACAAAAATACTTCACTAAAAAAATAGGATTTTTTGTATGTGACAGACTTGTAATGTTAACTGAAAGACTGCTAAATTTTGTTAAGATATACACACTATATTGAGAGTTATAAGTATTAAATCTATAAAGACTTTAAATGAGTACAAAGAGGTTATATGGTCGGTCAAATTGACCGAGCCCATGTTGAGAGAGTTAAACAATGGCAATTGTGGAAGATGCAAAAACCTTTGTCAAAGAGCCAAGTCAAATATCAAGTTATGGTTGACACCACTGACTGAAAATGGTTCAATTTCCTCTCAATACAACATTTCTGATATGCATGTCATTACCTTTGAGAAAAGCAGAAACTGAGCCAGATACATCTCAACCTTAAAAATTAAACCCCAATGCTGTGTAAAAGACAGCATAACCTCCAGCTGGGTGCACAATATCCTATCATGTCTGCCTCCATTGAGGGCGCCTAAAAAGAAGTGGAGAAGTTGGACACACCAGAATGGACCACAGAAGCAGAAGCCCGGGTGTAGCTGCCAATTTGGTGTGATCAATAGGATCTGACAATGGGTTTGAACAAATCATGTTTTGTATCCTGGGTAACATATGAAGTGGAGAGAAGGTTGAGAGTGGTAATCCCATCCTGTCCAGATGGAAAGCATATACTGCCAAGGCCCAAATATGAGGTACAGTAGACCAAACTATCAGTAGTAGGGTGATCCAATGAGAGGCCAATCCACCAATTACAGTTGCAACATGAGAGGCAATCCAACTGAGCCTTGTGATGCAACCTTTATTCAGTTGGGAGAATCTGTTTGGATAGAGACAATTGACCTGCTAACATAGGCATCACCCAGTGGAACATAGCAAGCTAGAAAATAAGGAGCCTTAAACCACATGCCTTCTTGATAAGAAACATAAGACACCACTGCAGAATAGTGAAACCTGATGATTTTCCCCATAAGAAGCCCAGACCATGAGACCTTGCCTGTTGAAGAGCAAAAAGGACGAAAACATTGTAGAGGGAATTCGATGACGAGGAACCCACTTTGAGACTAATAATGGTTGGAGATGGCTTGAATGGGTAATTAAGAAAAAACTTTAATACAAGTTTAACATAACAGCAAATGTACAAG